CACAGCAGGCCAAGCAGCATCATAGGGCCTGCTGTGTTCATCCAGCTCTGCACCTTGTTGTCTCGGATTCTCCAGCATCTGCAGTTCCTACTATCTCTGATTCAATTTAAAACTCCTTCACTATCACTGGATCAATATCCCACAACCCCCTTCCTTAGAGCACTGTAGGTGTATTTACATCAAGCGGATTTGTGTAGTTCAAGAAGGTGCCTCACCACCACTTACTCAAGGGCAGTTTGGGATGGGCAATAAATCTTGGACTTCCCGGCAACATACAAATCCCATTAAATAAGAAAATAAAAATTCTGATCCATAAGCAAATGTGACTCAAGCTCTTTATTTATCAGGCATCATCATATTAACAAGAAGATCTTACAGAAAAATATCTATTTATGCATAATTGAAACCAATCCAAAGTTGGTCATTTGTTTTACCATTTCCACTTTTTTCCCAATATTTATGAATATCATGTACAAGATGGGAAGATTACACACTGACATTGCTTTGTCATTTAATTTATTGTTATGAACATTAAAAAAAATCGGTTTTTGCTGTTAATATTTTGCTCATTTTTCTTTGCTCTGAATATAAGCCTAGCACACTAATTTATATGGGGTAATCCTCTAAGTATTTGATTAATACTAACAAAATACATAAATTCTAGACTTCATTCTGCACCACTAAGCACACTGAAGCTAATTGTTTTATAGTTATTTTTATTCTCATCCCTGATCACAATATCAAAAATTGCATCAGTACGTAAACCTTATTCCCTTTCCTTTAACAGGCGGCATCACTGCCCACATATGCCAACAGGATTCCACGACAAAACTCTGCAGCCTTGTATGCTGACTGAATACCATGAAAAATACCCTTCATATGGAGATATCAAACCCAGGGAAAACTACAAACCAAAACCTGAAATTTCATCTAAACGTGGCAAAATGGACGGAACATCAACATTTAGGTAAGTGTCTTTAGAGTGAGAAGCTAAGTGAGAGGCATTCAACCATAGAACAATGAAGTTATTTCTTTAATCAGATTAAATGCACAAATATTATTGCTACTGTTTATGTGTACTATAACTGCAGTATTTCATGCTCTACCCATGGCATTGTGATATTAATTTGCAATTAAATTTATTGAGCCAATTTTTTAAACACAGACAAGAAATTCCCCACAGGATGGCACATTTTTTTTAACTAACATTAAAGTATAATCTATAAAATAGGACATTAATAGTGACCACACAAAATGAGAATTCACTTTGTGGTTTTGTTAATCTAAATGCAAGACTTCTCACAGATTTTAATTTTTAAGGGTACAAAATAATTTCTGCTAAATTATTTCACATTTAAATCTATAAAATATTTTATAAATTAATTATACTGACAGTATAAACTAATTTTAAGAAGGCTAAATGCCTCCAGAATGCAAATAAATCTCAACCAAGTTCAATGGTGCTCTGAACGTTTGTACACCACTGAAAATGGATTGGTAAACACTGGCAAAATCAATGAGAAAGAGGCACATTTTATTTCTTAAAACCTCATTACAAGTTGTTCATGATGAACGTGTGTAGCACACTGCAGCTATGCAGTTAATGCAAAGGAAGCACATCATTTAATATGGTGCCAGATTTTCATTTGGTGATGGAGGTGAGAATGTAAAAAATTTATAATCTTTTGGATTTATTTGAAATTTGCAATGCTCTCAGAATGTTGCACTGGTTTCTTTTTATGGCCTTTTTACTCATCAGGATGGCTTTGGGTTGTGACCTCACATGCTTCTTTTCTGAGGCTAATGTCACCATTCTAACCCCTTCTGGAAATTTAGCTTTGTTTCTCCTCAATATTTTAATGCGGGCTTTGGAAGCCCTATGAAAAACTGTCTCAAGGGCAGTTGGTGGTGACTGCAGCATGTCTGCTGAGGAGTCAGGAACAGGTAAGTATCAAATATTCTGACAAATTTGAATGTCATTATTTGATGCTGTATTGTGTTGTGGACAGTTTTAAAACTGCAGTGATTCATCAATGGGCACTGCCATTACATTTACCATCATTATTTAGGTTTTATGATATATTGCTTTTCTTAATTTTAGAGTGAGGGGTGAGGTTTAATGGGCATAGGAATGATATTGAGAGCTAGGCTGTCATCCTTGAGAACTTCCAACCTCCAGTCAACCTCCCTTCCTCAATTTCTCCTCATAAGACAATGCCATCATGCAAAGGATTAATCTGGTGAACGTTAATGGTTCTTCTGCTAGGGCAAAGATATCCTCCCTTAAATAAGGAGCCCAAAACTGTACACAATAGACTAAGTAGGGTCTGACCATGTCTCTACTCATTTGCAAAAAGTCATATTTTCTCCTGGACTTAAATCCCTTTGTGATGTAGCACAACGTAACACTTGTCTTCCTAATTGCTTTATGCACCTGTATGCTAACTTGTAACGGCTCACGAACAAGGACATCCAGATTCCTTTGAAAACCTGCGCTTCCCAAGCTCTCACTATTCAAGAAATATTCTGTTGTTTTTTTTCTCTACCAAAGTAACTAATTTAGTATTTATCCACATGATATTCCATTTGCCATGTCCTAGCCCACTCAATTAGTCTCTTGAAGCTTTCTTGAATACTCCTCACAACTTATACTCCCACCTGGTTTTGATGTCATCAATGAATTTGGAAATATTACAATTAAACAAAATATCCAAATCAGTTAATGGATTGTAAACAGCTGTAGATATAGCACTGACACTTTGTGATATGGTATCCACAAGAAAAAGCCAGCTATTCTAAAAGCTTATTAATACTTTCTGTCTTTTAACCAATTACACCCAATCCCATGCAATCCTATTATTTAATACCCTCATGTGTGGGGACTTATCAAAAACCTTCTGAAAATCACATTCACTGGTTCTCCTTTATCTACGCTATTAGCAACATGCTCAGAAAAACTCCCAAGTTGTCAAACATGGTTTCTATGTCATAAATCTGTGTTGATTCTATCAGATTTTGCCAGTTGCTGCTTATTGTTCAGTTATCAAGTTGTTTATAGTAGATGTCAACCTTTTCCACACTTCTAAGGTCAGGCTATTCTCCTTCACCCTCCCTTCTTAACTAGCAGGATTACATTTACTACCTTCCAGTCTGCAAGAACCTTTCCAGATCCATAGAACTATGAAATATACTGCCAATGCATCCACTGTCTCTTGACCCAACACTTTCATCACACAGGGGTGAAGATCATCTGGTCTAGGGTATTTATCAAACTTCAATTCAGTTAACGTTTAAAGCACCACCTCTTTACTAATTATATTTAGTACTTCAGTATGGCAACAACCTTGGATTTTTGGGAGATTTTCTGTATCACCTTCTGTAAAGACAGACACAAAGTAATTGTTTAGTTTCTCAGCCATTTTTCCCTGTCCTTAATTATAAATTGTCCTGTCTGCACCTGTAATGGACCGTATTTATCCAAGATAATCTTTTCCTTTTTGCATAGCAAAAGATGCTTTTGTAGTCTATTCTTATGATTCTCGCTGGTCTATATTCATGTTGACATCTCTCCTTAATTGATTTCTTGGTCTTCCTTTGCTGGGCTCTAAATTGGATAAAAACTGTTAACTTTTCAAAAAATATTTAAAGAAACTCATACTTCATGTTTTGATCATTCTGGCTAGGTTTCACTTATTCTCCCTTCCTTCCTTATTTATTTTTCTGTTATTCTTTGATGCTTTTATTTTTCATCCAAACTTCTGACCCTCCATCTGGCTTGGCATGATTCTATGCTTTTTAAAAATTTAAATATTACTTTTAACATTTCTAGTTAACCACAATGCTAGATTTGTCCCTTGGAATTTTTCTTGCTTGATGGAATGTATCTATTCTGTGCATTATGAAATATATCCTTAAATGTCTGGCACTGCATCTCTATTAACACATGCTTCAATCTAATTTATCCATTCACTTTGTAGCTCTACAGCTTTCATGTCCTCAAAATTGACCCATTCAAGTTTATTAAATTCCTCTCAGACCCATTTCTCTCCTCCTCAAACTGAATGTAAAATTCAATCATTTTATCACTACTACCCTCGGGTGCCGCCACTGTGAGATCATAAATTAATCGTATCTCATTGCACCATGTAGTCCGGTATAACCTGCTCTCCTGTTAGTTCCAGAATATGCTGTTTTAGGAAGTCATCTCAAAAACATTCTTTAACTCCTTATCTGGCTATTTTTGCCCATCTGACTTTTCCAGTCTACGTAAATTGAAATCCCCATGATTATCATTGTGTCTTCCTAGCAATCTTCTCTTATTTCTTGCTTTACGTTCCACCCTGCTGCCTAGTTACCATTAGGGATAATATCACTCCCACAAGTTCCTTTATCACTTATCACTTTCTTATCTCTAACCAAGTCATTTAAATATCCTGGTTTCCTCAATTTAAAGCATTCTCTCTATTGTCTTAATTCCATAATTAATGAATAAAGCCATACTTGCACTTTTTTCCTAGCCTCCCATCCTTCCTAAATTCAGGCACCCTTCACTATTCAGGCACCACTCCATGTTATCCTGCATCTATGTCTTTGTAATTGCTGCCCAATAAGACTTTTTTCCCTATTTGAAATCTTAGTTCATCTGTTCTGTTTCAAACGCAACATGCATTCAGGTATCGTCCTTAGTTTTATCCCTTTGTTTTTTTGTAACCTGTAGTGATATCTGTAGACTCAATCTTAGATTTATACTCTCTATATATCTCTTCTATCATAGATTGTTTGTCATTTCTCATATTAATACCATTCTTGTTTGGCTAGTCTCTCCTCTTTGGTTTATCACATCTTACTAAATTTGATACCTTGCTTCCATTCTTTAAATTAAAACTTCTCTACTTCTAGTAGAGTCAGAACTTCTGAGGAAGGGTCACCGGACCTGAAACATTAACTCTAATTTTCTCTTCATAGATGCTGCCAGACCTGCTGAGCTTTTCCAGCAACTTCTGTTTTTGTTTCTGATTTACAGCATCTGCAATTCTTTAAGTTTTTATCTTGCATTTATATCTTCCATCCACTACCATTAGAACTCACTGCCTTCAGGCTCTGGGCACCCTCATAAGCTGTTCCATTTGGTCCTCCTCCCCCTTTCTCAAAAAATAGAGACAAACGTTGGTTTCTAACACCTTTCATTTCCAAAAAAGAGTCATACTGGACTCAAAATGTTAACTCTATTTCTCTCTCTACCTTTGCTTGCAAATTTGATGGCCTTCTCTAGCATTTACTGTTTTCATCTCAGTTATGATTATATTAGTCTTGTGTGGGTGGTTAGGATGCCAACTCTGGTGACCACCTCAATGTCTGGTATTTTGTTTGCCATCTGGTCATTAGATGTTTCCAAAGGCAATTCAGGTAAAAGTGGTTGATTTTGTTGGTTTGATACTGGTGTATATTTCACATTTTGCATGTGTAGAACAGATTGGGAAGAAATGCTCAGTTTGGGATGCAGGCTTACTCATCTTTCCAATTTTCCAAAGGTAATAATTTCTTTGGTAATTCTTATATCTCTCTCACCATCAATTTATACAGCTTGAGTGGTGTGTGTAGTTCTTCAGTGCTGACGGTCAAATTCAGTATTCACAATAAGAAGGCTAAAAACTGCTATTTTTTTCTGGTGGCCATTGTGCAAAGAACACGTGTTCAATGACATGCAGATCATGCGTGAGAAAGGGCCAAATATAAAGGCATGGGAAGGGGTGTGTCTCATTAGAATCAACTAGGAAAAGATGGATGCTTCAGGAGTGCGAACAGGTGAATGCAAAGCAACTTGGGCATGCAAATGCAATTATACCTTTACAGAGAGAGCGCCAGTAGAGCGACAATCACCACAGGGGAAGTATCTGTCAGCAGTGCTGCCACTGCTGTTGGGTGGTGTGAACCAAAATCCAAGATGGACTTAAGGTTAGCTTTGAC